CTAGACACAACTGAAAACAACTTAAACAACAACAAAATTGTTATCATAATTATTATATTTAGCAAAGTGTCTGGTATGTTGTAGGTACTATAAAAATGTTTGCCATTATTATTGTTGTTATTATTATTACACATAGCACAGTGTATGGCATATAGTAGGTGCTACATGCATTCTTATTCTCTTCTTTTCCTCTTTATGAGAACCCTGATAAATTAGTAGGAAAATAGAATAATTTCCATTGTCAGTGAAGTTTTTTTGTGTGTGCTTTGGGTGAGGATGCCCCCTCCTCCCCAGTTTCTTTTTCTTTTTCTTTCTTTCTTTTTTTTTTGGCATAGACCTGTGATTTCATCACTGTTAGAAATTTCTGGTATGGAAACTCTCTTCATCAATGCAGTTTGGTAACTTAAGATCCAAAACAATTGTCTCAGTCAATAAGACACTGAATAAATCACTCACAGTTACACAGTTAATATGGGTCAGAGATAAGATATGAACATGAGTCTTTTTAATTCTGAGGCTAAATGTCTAATCACCAGACCATACTCCCTCTCCTTTACCCTACAGTGCACAGGTGGGAAAACTGAGTCAGACACATTACATGACTTATCTACAGTAATATAGCAAGTCAGGAACTGACCAGGGAAGTAAACTCAATCTCTACATTTTATGTCTAATGCTTTCCCCCATACAATGCAGCCTCTATACTCCTGTCTGTAACAAAGTAGAATTGAAAAGAAAAAATGCTGAGGGATCTATAAACTCAAGAAATTATTTTGCTGCAAGGTCAGTGCACTGGTAACAATGGAACAATAGAATTCAGGTGATGTGGGGTCTAGGTTTATTTACTATTAACCAGCTGCATAACCTTGGGTAATCACTCACTCTCTGCAAGCCTGAATTTCCTTATTGGTGAAATGGAGATAATAATACCTTTCCCACCTAGCTCACATAGCTGTTATGAAGAAAGTGATTTGTGAGCCTTACATGCATCTGAGATTCCTACCAGACCCAAAGTACTATGCTTTTACTTTTCGCTTGAAGATCAAATTAGATAAAGTTTATAAAACTAAGCATTATATAAATGTAAGCTATTATTCTGTTCAATACTAGTAAAATCTTGGCCAAGTCACTCCCTCTTCAGGTTCTCAGTTTCCACTGTGAACTAGATGATCTAGAAAGGTCCCTCTGATTCTATATCCTATGATTCTATGTACATGTGAATTATGAGTTGAGACTTCAATTTTCTCATCTAGAGAATGAGGAGGTTTGCTTAAACCCTTACAGGTTTAAGATTCTGATTCTACATTTAATGACAAAAGTCAACATTTCTGTATCAAAAACTAATCACACTTTGGGAAATACAGTGTTTTATTGGTAATTGAGCCAAAGTAGGAGACAGGGTTAGCATTAAATAGGGCAAGAACTTCATTAATACTTTGCAATTTAGGGGCTCCTGCTGGACTTAGAGTCAGGAAGATCTATCTTCCTGAGCTCAAATCTGGCTCTGTTTGGTCCTCATCTGTAAAATGAGGTGGCGAAGGAAATGGCAAAACCCTCCAGTATCTTTGCCAAGAAAACTCCAAATGGGGTCATGAAGAGACAGACACAACTGAAAAATGACTGAACAAGCAACAACCACAACTCTAAGGCAGAATGCAGTAGGTAGACTGTCCAGAAAATTGAAATTACATTCAAGTTCTATAAAGTAGGATATTTGAGGACCATGAAATCACAACTTTAAGATCAGAAGTGGAAATGAAAAGCACATCCCAGTCACTAGTCTATGTTCTGATAATGCTATTTGGGGATGGGCTCCAGTGAGGGCTAAACAATCCTTTCTGGAGTAACCTTCTGCCCACATTACACAGGTGTGGATTACTGCTGATGCAGCAATCACTCTTATTTTTCCTTCCACACTATTCCTCATGCTGTTTTGCTGATACATTATGAAAAATTCTGCTGGTGTGTCCTAAGCATCACTCCATGCCCTGTTTGTTTCGAGTTGGCTGACATGTTCTAGTAACTTATTTTCCAAGAAAGAAAAAAAAAGAGATACATAGAAAACAATTTGCTTAGGGTATTTTCTGATTGTTTTATGTCACCAAAAAGCAAAATCAGATATTAGGAAAACCAGGCAGCTCTGGACTTTATTAAAAATAACATCATCATCAACAACCATTAAACATTAAGACCCTGCTATGTTTTAGGCACCATACTATATGCCCAGGTTACAAAGAAAAAATTGAAATAGTCCATCCCTCAAGGAACTTACATTCTAACCAGGAGATATGGCATTTGCATATATAGACATGTACAAACTTGATATAATTTTGGAGAGGGCAATAGAAGCTAGAAGGATCAGGAAAGATTTCATGTAGAAGGTGATGTTTGAGCTAAACCTTGAAGAAAATTAGGGATTCTAAGAAGTAAAGGCAAGGAGAGAGTATTTCCAGACATGGAGAATATTGTAAATGAAATATTATGTATGAAAAACAACATGAAAGCCAGTTTGGCTTGACCACAGTGTATATAAAAGGGAGTAAGGTGTTAAAAGATTGGAAAGATTGGAAGGAGCCAGGTTGTGAACTGCTTTAGATACACAAAACAGAAGTTTAAATTGGTCTTTCAGGTAATAGGGAGCCATAAATGTTTATTGAGCAGGGGAGTGCCACGCTCAGATCTACAGTTTGGTAAGTCGTTTTGGCAACAGTATTGAAGGTGGATTGGGATGGGGAAAGACTAGAAGCAGAAAGATAAATTAGGAAAGTATTCCAATAGTCCAGGCAAAGGGTAATGAGGGCTAGAATTAGGATGGTAGCCATGTGATTAGAGGGAAGGAGACAGATGTAAGAAATGTTATGGTAAGACATAAGAATAAAAATGCCTCCAATTCTGCATGCTTTAATATTGTTTCCTCTTTCTACTAGTTTTATAATTTATGATGATAGATTATATCTTTCCAATTGTTACTTTTATTTAAAAAGTATGATGAATATTTGTAGCACTGGGATTTTGCAATTCTTCTTCTATAAATACAAGTTCAGTTTCTGAGACTTAACTCCTTACACCTTGGTCACCCTGTGGTTTTTCATTTCTCAAATGCATTCTGCTTCCTATCAAATGCAAAACTTTCAGTCATGTCAATTACACAGTATGTCCATTTCCAATTAACTCTTCCAAATATGTCCCTCTATAACATTTGAATTTGAAGGTTCAATGAATAGATATAAGAAGAATGAATGATTCAGTTAAAATCTACCATGAGAACATTGAGAGTTATAACTTATCATTAGACTAAAATCACTGAAAGCTAAGACACCACTGAATGTATAATTCTTAGGATTCATTTTTAATTCATAACATATTTTTCATAATGATGAATAGATAGACAACTATAAGAACCCAAGAAGCCAAAGACTATGTCCTTCCTAATAAAGTGGCTTATTTCATAATGAAATCAAAAATTGGGAAGTGATCCATGCATGATAAAAAATTAAGTGAAGTGACTAAAAAACAAAAAGGCTTACCTAAAAACCAGTGATGGGATACTTTTCAAAAATATTTTTAGTTTATTTAAACATTAATTTTTCATATCAAATTTGTTTCTAAAAAATACACAGCTTAGCATTTAATTAGCTTCTTTTTCTTCAAAGGACTTTGTATGATTTAATTAATTTCAACATCATCATAAAGCAATTCATGCAAGATAAAAGATCAAATTTTTTTCAGCAGTATCTTCAACTCAGCCTTACTAACCACTCAGCTACATCTCTATATAAATATGGAGCCAAACTCTGCATGCACTGAATTCAAATGTGTGTGTGTATGTATGTGTGTATATGTATGTGTATATGTATGTGTGTGTGCTTTTGAATTATATTTAGGCTATTGAGAAATTTTTTGTACCTATAATGCACGACAAGAATTAGTTTATCCAAAATAAAAATAGTATTTCTCTCTCAATAGGAAAGTATGTTGATTTTTATGAGATAATTTCATCTAGGAACAGGTCCAGATGCCCCTATTTCACCATGGCATCATATCCTCACTTAGTCATGTACTTTTATATAATAATGTCATGTAACAGATCATCAGTGATTTGGGGAGTAAAAAACAATTAAAATCATGATTTCATTCATTTTACACTTATATTAATTCAGAGGGAAGATCCAGCTCATACCTTCTTTGGAGGACTAGGAAAATTTAGTTACTCTATAAGCTTACAGTATAGTTCTACTTAATATAAATTCATAACTTGGTTTCCAAACAACTTCTATCTTAGATAGACTTAATGCAAACTCAGTCACCTACATTTAATAATCTGGGGTAACTGTGTGGCAGAATATGACAAACAGTGAGAAAATTCAGAGTTACTCAAAACACCTCCAAAATGTCATCCCTGACATAACTCACTGAGATAGCACTGCTTAAGAAGTAACATTCCCAGCTCAGTTCCTTGGCATACTGATAAAGGAGTTAGAGTAAAATTAACTAGAGTGAGGTACTAATAAACACTATTTGGTAATGTTATCTCCTTACAAATTCTTTTCAAGTACATTTCAGGGGTCTGTAACAAAAAATGATCAAAATACTTCTGCCAATTTTTCAATTACATTCCTGCCTAATCTCATTTTAAATAAAACATACACTTAAAAAAAAACTCAGTTAACACTTTTATATTATATTGAACTAAATTTGAAGAATAGTTTTCTTTCGCTAGCAACAGAATTTGAAAACTTCTTGATGTAGAGAAATGATATGTATATCAGGATGAGGTTATAACAGATTTGACCTCATTTCTTCTGAAGTAAGTGAAAGATAACCATCTTGGAATACTGTCAAATGATTTTACAACTCCTGATTTGCTTTATTGGACATCTGATCCTTGCATGCATCACTGGGCATTTTTAGTCATCTCTGGCTATAACATAAACATAAGGCAACAGAAAATAACCTTTCACCAGGACTTCTTTTTAACATTAAAAAAAAATTGAGCTTACCATATTCCAGCCTGGGTAGAGGTAGTCAGTCCCAACAAATTCAAAATAGTGAGCAAAGCCTTCTTTCAGCCATACGTCCTCCCACCAGACAGGAGTCACAAGGTCACCAAACCACTATGGGGCAAAGGCAATAATAATTATGTCACACCAAGAAAGTTCCAGAAACAGACATATAATGATCAGATTGGCTTAACAGCTGATTAAAACTGAAGTAGTCCTCCCTTCCCTCCATTTGCCAAGAAATGTAGAAACCTTCAACCACTGGAGAGAAAGATGACGGATCACTCTGATTTCCTGAAATACCCACTTTGTATTGAGGGCAGCATATTATAGTGAAAAGAACACTTGATGTAAGGTTAGATGACACAGATTTTTATCTCTAGCTCTCCCATGCTCCTCCAGTAGGCAAGTCACTTAAATTTCCTGGAATTGATCCTAGTTTTTCATCTGTAAAATGTGGTAGTGGGGCTAGATAATCTGATGAACTCTCTAATTATAAAATTAGAGTCAGAGAGTCATGACATAATATTTGTAAAATTCTTAACACAATGTCTAGCACATAGTAGGTGCTTAAATGTTTCTTCCTTTCCACTTCATAAAATCAAAGATTTAGAGTTGGAAGGGACCACTAAGCCACTGCATCAGTATCTAATAATAATAACTCATATATAAATTACTTTAAGTTTTAGAAAATACTATTTTTTATAATAACAGAAGTGGTATAGCACAGAAGATCAAGTTTGGGCTTGGGAACAGAAAGCTCCAGGTTTGTTTTCAACCTCTGAAACCCATGTGACCTTGGGCACATCACTTAACTTTGAGGTGTCTCCAGCAACTCTCTGTGACCTATTTCCTAAGACAGACTGCTTGTAATCAACACTGTTGGAGGGAATTAACACACCAGAAGTTCTCCACGCTGATGAAATAACAGAAACTTCATGTATTCTTCCTGGTCCTCTCTGTTTAGTAGGTAGTATATTATAACCATTTCTCAGAAGAGGAAAATAAGGCTCAACACATAAAATGATTTGATCAAGGATAGATAACTAGTAACTTAAAAGTCATGATTTGAACTCAGGTCTCTTGACTTCAAGTTCAATAATCATTCCACGATACCATGATATGTTTACCCTATCATAGAAAAAAAAACATGGATAGACCCTGACAAATCTAAGTTTTTCAACCACGTGATCTTCTTATAAGGGTCACTTTAAAAGGTAGATGATTGCTAGAGGATATCATAATATTGTCTATATCCATTTGTTATTAACTCAACAGATGGGAATTAGCAATAGAGATTCACTTTCCCACATTAACACTGGTCTTTATGATTCCTTAGAAGTTGAATTCATTTGCATTTGGTCCAGATAAGATCTATAGTCCTGGTATGATCTATGATCTATTTCGAAATCCATGTTTCGAAAGGGTCCAGTCTCACAGAAGATACAAGCTATATGGGTGACACACTTAAGATTTAACCTGTTCTAAGCTAAGATTATGATTGTTTTCAAAGCAAGGATAGACTGTCTTTACTAGCAAACTTCTTTTAGCATTTTTTTTTAATAAAGCCTGAAATGGTATTGTAGATCATGTGTTGGAATTAGCATACGGAAGAGCTGGATTCAGATTCTGCCTCTGACATTTAATAGCTATGTGACCCTGGGCAAGTCAGGTAGCCCCTATATGCCTCAAGCAATTTCCTAGGGTCTATAAAGTAAGTCCCAGAAGAATTTATGATCTGGTTTGATAGAGCTTGTTCCCATTCTGGGGGTCCCCCTTGCTGATTAAATCATAGAAGTTTTTGTACATATCTATATCTCTCTATTTTCATATGCCTATAGATACATATGCAAACATGTCTCTCTATGTATATATGAATATATCTATATCTCTATACATCTAGAGACATGCATACATAAATATATCTATAGAAAGATATATCTCTGTCTCTATAGAGATAGAAATAGTTAAATACATAATTATATATGTGTGTATGTATGTATGTATAATACAGTGATATCCTATAACAACGATCTATCCTCTTCAACTGACCTTTATACGAAGAGCGTGTGGTGGGAAAAGTCCTTTAACCTTGATTTGTCAAGGTTTGTCCATGTACTTCTTTATATGATGGAACAAGTGTAACATCTCCTGTAATTATAGATACTCAAATCCTTTGCTTTACAGTACTGTGGAGAGATTATTGGACTTGAAGTCAGGAGATCTGAGTTCAAATCATGACTTTATAGTTACCATCTCTATGTAGCTTTGGGCAAATCATTTTATGTTTTTGAATCTTATTTCCCCCTTCTGCAAAATGGTTATAATAATATAGGTGTGTATATATCTCTATAGAGATATAGCTTTCTATCTTTAAAGAGATATAGAGATAGGTATATATTCATATGTACACATGTACAATTGGCTTCAGCTGAACAATGAAGAATGCTTGTAATAAGATTTATCCAGGAGAATAAAAAATAAACATAAAGTAAACTTTATCAGAGATTTACCATGATATTTATTAATGTATGTTAGCACATTAGTAACACAGCTTATTTCATGGACCTCTACAGAGACTATGACCTCTCCACCACCAAAAAACAAAGCAAAACAAAACAAAACCCTTTCATTTGTGAAGAGACAGTTCATGGCTGAGTAAATGAAAGACTTCCAAAGTGGCTACGTGTTGGGAAAAAGGGAATAACAAATTGATTTCAGCAAGAGCAAATTTTGACACACACCCAAAACTCAGTCTGCATCTTGTAGGCTTGCAATAAATCACTTTCGAGGCCTATCACTGTGCTTACCAAATGTATACAGCAATCAGTATAATCAAAAAGAAGGAGAAGCAGGTTGGTAAAGAACAGAGATTGAACCTGGTCTCCAAGGAGGTGCCTGGGCAGGAGCACCACTTTACTGTCTAAACAAAACTCAAGAAAGGCAGCTCGTTTATGCTATGTGATCAGAGGAATTGGCCGTATGTTTGTTTTGTGTTTGTGAAGTCAACCAAGAAAAAGACACGTCTTCTAGTAAAACAGCATAATGCTTTGTATGTAATTAAAACAACTGATTTAATGAGATATTGCGTTGGTGCCTAATCAAAATACTTGATAAGTCATCTGCAGTTTTCATTCATTCTATATGGTGTACTTGCACCAAACCCTCTTTTTTTCCCCTCATACCTGGTGGCATATCTCATGGACAATGACCATTGTGACATCCAGCAAATAGGAAATGGATGAAATACTGGGATCCAGGAGTATCCTTTGCTCCACAAAAACACTTAGCCCCCAGTTCTCCATAGCAGCATATGGATGCTTAGGCACAGCTAAAAGATCTAGAAACAGAAAGAGGGAGAAGAATGTTTATTACAAGAGCCACTGAATTAGCTATCTGTTTTCTAGAAATATCCAAAAATCATAATGAAAAGGAATGATTGTTCTGAGCAGAACAGAATTGTTATAACACATACCATGTCCATATGAGGGCAGGCACTTTGATCATTAAACATCAGTTGATTTCATTCATCAGAGAATATCTACATGTCTAAAGTCATAGGGACCTGGAAATACCAATTCTGTACCTGAAAGATCCATCTTAAATTTTAACAAATCAAGTCTTCCTTATGAAGCAATGATCCATAATGACAAATCTATAGCACCCACCAAAGAAAATAGATTCAGTTTACTTAGGAGACAATTGCATTCTTCTTTCTTTCATAAAAGGGGCTTCACTTTCCTGCGATACCACAGATACATTTTAAGATGTATTTCTGATACATTTCTGCTCCTAGATATCTGACGTCTAGTTCTAGAAACATATTGTAATCTTGAACGTGTTATATAGCCTTTCTACGTAGACTTCTGTCCTCTCTATGTATCCCAGAGGTGGGGAACCCTCAAAGCCATACATACTCTTCTAGGTCTTTGGGTGTGGCCTTTTGACTGAGTCCAAGTTTCATAGAACAAATCTTTTTATTAAGGAGATTGGTTCTGTGAAGTTTGGATTCAGTCAAAGGGCCACACTTGAGAACTTAGAGGGTTACATGTGGCCTTGAGGCTGCAGGTTTCCCACCCCTGAAATTGTATCTTCTCTCTCTTTCCCTATTATATAAAGGGGTTGGTCTAGATTATCACCAAAATGTATTACAACTCTAAAATTGTATCCTGTTTTGCTATTTTTTTTTTACAAAAGATTATATATCATGTTTAATACTTATTCTCTCAACAGATATTTGTCGTTGTTGTTGTTGTTCAGTCATGTCCAACTTTTCACAACCCCATTTGAGATACTGAAGTGGTTTGCCATTTCCTTCTCCAGCTCATTTTACAGGTGAGTAACTGAGTTAAACAGGATTAAATGACCTATTCAGGGTAACACAGCTAGTAAGTGTCTGAGGCCGTATTTGAACTCAACACGATCAGCCTTCTTGACTTCAGGCCCAGCACTCTATCCAATGCATGACCTAGCTGCTCTCAACAAATATTTGGTGAGCTTCCTATTCTGTTCAAGACACTGAGTCAGATCTTGAAAATAAAACAAAAATGTAAAGTATATGGTCTCTGCTATCAAGAAGTTTGAAATCCAGTATAGGAGAGAAGACAAATAAATAAGCCATGAAACAAGGTAAAATAACTGTATTAAAAGGAATGCAAACAAGTCAGGGATTGTTTTATTTTTCTTTTTTTTAATTTAATTTATTTATTTTTAGTTCTGAACATTCACTTCCACAAGATTTTGAGTTCTAAATTTTCTCCCCCCTCATCCTCCCCCCCACCCCAAGATGGCATGCATTCTGTATACCCCTTCCTCTAATCTTCCCTCCCTTCTATCTCTCATCCCCTTCTCTTATCCTCTTCCTCTTCTAGTTTCCTCTAGGGCAGGATAGATTTCTATACCCCATTTCCTGTATTTCTTATTTCCCAATTGTATGTGAAAACAATTTTTTTAACATGTGTTTTTAAAACTTTGGGTTCCAAATTTTCTCCCTTTCTCCTTCCCCACCTACCCTCATTGAAAAGGCAAGCAACTCGATACAGGTTATACATGTGGAATCATGCAGAACACTTCCATAGTAGCCATGTTGTGAAAAATTAAGTATATTTCCCTTCATCCTATCCAATCCCCCCCATTTATTCTATTATCTCTTTTGACCCTATCTCTCCTCAGAAGTGTTTGCTTCTGATTACCCCCTCCCCCAATATGCCCTTCCCTCTATCATCCCCCTGTTCTCTTCTCCCTTTCCCCCATATTTTCCTGTAGGGTAAGATAGATTTTCATACCCGATTGAGTATGTATGTTAGTCCCTTCTTAAGCCAAATCCTATGAGAATAAGATTCAGTCATTCCCTCTCACCTTCTCCCATTTCCCCTCCATATCTATCTATCTATCTATCTATCTATCTATCTATCTATCTATCTAT